CTTTTCCCACCAGCCATCTTGCTTTTCTTAGCTCCTGTTGGGGAGTCCCCAGCGTGCGATGTGCCCTGATTTTTGAACAGTTTCAGAGGTATTTAATACTGTAGAGATCATAACAGATCATTCTTTTTGTGGTTGCTTTTTATAGAAAATTTATTCGAAAGACTGATAATTAGCACATTTTAGAGAAATCCTGTGGCACAATGATGCGCTATTCGGACATATGGGATATTCCAATACTACGGCAAAAATGTCACGACTTTTTACGTAAGTTTGATTGGCTCTTCCAGAGTTGAGAAACATGGATGGGAGTTCATTACCTCGGGATGGGGGTGGATTTGAAGGACTCCTCCTGCATAACAAGGCCTCCTGCAGTCCATATGTGGGTTTTTGCTTTAGCCTAAAGGGGAATGAACCAATTTAAAAAATTGTTCTTCTATTCGAGCTCACGTTAGTCCCATTTTTGCAGAAAGATTCCTTCAAGTGCTTCCCTACTCTTGGATCTCATTAGCGACAGAGGTATAATAAAATATCTCTATTTGCTAATCAGTTTGCCTATTTTTTATTGGAGAGCGGAATGGCGCTCTGAGACGTCCCAAGTAAGACCTTTATAGGCTGAAGGAGCCTGGAGGGACCTAGCAAAAGTAATGTCGCGCTTCCGCCGTTCCGTTAGCACCTACATATCCGCTTTATTGCGGCCACTGAAAAATCTGTGTTAAATTTCAGTGTTCCGTTTCCCACGACTTCGTCCAACGTTTGAGACGACGTTTTCACTTTTGGAAACTGCCTACACGCATGGTTTTGAACGTAGTTCAGAGCAATTGATCTCACGTTTAGCCGGTTTCGGCCAAGTTTTCCTCGATCAACAAGGAATGTTGCATAAAGTGAGTACTCCAGTTATGCATACAAGTTACCACGAATATTTGTTCATATTATCTCTTCCACATATGACATCATCTGGCTGACAAGGTTCGCTTTTTCAAAGCCCCACCTTGCATTGATTGATGTGCAGACGATTTCTTCAGTTCTTCATTGTCTGGCCTGCAATCATGGGGGATGTCTACTTTTGCGGCATGAAAATGCATAATAAGCAGGTTAGGAGCTAGTGAGGATGCTAGTGCCCCGCCCATTGCCTAACACTACTCCCAATAGTCACTTCTAGAAGCTCCTATCCAGGGTTTTTTGGCATTCCATTACTTACCAACTTCTCATCGTTCGATCTCCAAGTACCAACAATTTGTTACCTCGGACTGCCTTCAGAAGCAGACCGTAACCACAAGGGTGAGGCACATCTACTGTCTCAAACCCGTGAGCGCATTGAGCTTCTTATTTTGAAGAGCTTAAAAAATCTCAACTTCTCTCCTTCGCAAGTCTTGACTTACTTTAATCTTCAGAATATTAGGACCCTCGTACAATTGCGGCCCTATTTTCTGCCGCTCCCAAGGAAAGAATTGTTGTGAAGAAGTTTGCTCACAGTCTATCCTTCCATCGCCAACAGGTTAGTTAACGTTAACGGAAAATTGAAATTACTATTTTTTTCAGAATCTATCTTAAACTCATCTGGTTGCAGATGCTAAGGAATTTCCAGTATAGTCCTGATTGAATAAATAGATTAGTTGCAAAGACTCTTTAAAATAAGTCGAGGTATCATTACTAAAAGATCAGCAAGGAAGAGTAGTAGGTCGAAGACCGCCAGGTGCTTCTTTGTACTTCGCCACGATACCACGCGTTACGCCAGCACCATTACGATCCATCAGGTTTCCGTCAGGTCCCACGCGACTAGAAATGAAAGGTTCATTTAGCGCGGCTGCCCAGCGTCTACCAGGCGTCCCACCAGTTCCCGAGGGGCTAGAAAGAAAATGTATCGACCAGCATCACCAGCGTCACCAGCGTCCCGCCAGTGGCCCGATCATCTTCTCCACGGGACTCGACAAGGATGGCATATGAATCTAACGTTATCCAGGCCACCAGCGACCAGGGGTACGCGTATTGTGTAGTAGTAGCGTAGTACGGTGCGGTTGCGCGTTACGGTATTGTATATTAGTGGGTAGTACGCTGCGCGGTTGCAGACACCATAATTTCATGACGCGGATTTCTCTGCACGAAGTTGCGTAAGTTTTCTACAACCAAAACTCCAATTGCGCTTTGAAATTATGTATTGCTACAGTTCTATAATGTGTAAAGGAAAGGATAACTGAGGAAAAAAAAAAAATCCAATCATTAATCATTAGTTCAAGGTAGTCAATCGATAAATAAGAAATATTGGCGGGGGAATCTGAGAAGAAGCTAAGCTCCGCATGCAACACTTTCGACTCAAGGGGAGCAAGAGCATAGTGCTCCTCCTGTGCTCTTCTGTGAGAAAGGGAAGAATATCATTACAATGAATTTTATAATAAAGAATAAGAAGTGGAATAAGAAGGTCCTTTACAATAAAATAAGAAGTGAATTAATATACCTTACATTAGCTTAATGTCAAGCCTAGTCACCAAGTAGAACCCTCCAATTTCAGGGCTACCCGAGAGTGTGTGATCCTGCAATGCACGAACCGTCCCAGTCATGTCTGCTCTATTTGTAAGCTATATTTCTGTACACCACATCAAGATGTGATCCCGTGTACGAAAGATGCACAATTCCCGAATTTCATCAAAATCGTGCCGTTCAATATCGGCTCAGCGAAAGCCGACACCGAGCTGCTATATGGATTGAAGAGCGAGAAGAAAACGTGATATATTTATGATGATAATGTTATTAATGATGTGCCAACGTTAACGAATAAATATTGTGGTTGTTTTAGTGGGACTGGTACAATATTAGATCTCACGCGTCATCGCACATCAAAGGCAGAGGGCACGATAAATCCCTAAGACGTGGAGACTTCAACACACCTAGCAGGACAGTATTCTGCGCCTCTGAGCGGAAGGTGTGTGGCGCCTTTTTCAGGGAAGATGCGCCTACAACGCCCTATCAGATTGCACAGTCCTCATCATTGCGGACCGGTGGGGCGTGTCAGTGCGGCTGCGTTTGGCGCGGTGCCAAAGTCGTTCTGCACCAGTTGTTGAAGCGGGCAAGTGACATTACTGTATTATATCCTTCGTATTACTCGTTTTCTACCACTTTTTGTCGCATACGCGTTTCAACAAAAAGGCTGAGAACGGCTTCAACAGTGTGCACACTCATACTGGCTGACACGCCCCACCGGTCCGCAATGATGAGGACTGTAACATAACGGCCTGGACGCCCACCGCGAGCACACAAATGTCCGACTGAGCTGGTGCTCAGCTGCTCAATTTGGGAAATATAATGTGAAGCGTGGAGATTGATGTGAAGCGGATGCGTTGCCTAATGTATATGATTGGATAGATGTAGCCTCACCTACCGTAGCGGTTGCTGGCGCGATGCCAACAGGAAGCTCGTACAAAGTGCTTTTTGAATCGTATAGAACATAGGCCAGCTGTAGAATCGACCAGGATCGACCTTCTCTTAATCTTGGCATTGTTGTATCTTCGAACAGGTGGATAGTTTGAGCCGTCCAAGATTTTTATAATTTATTGGCCAACGTTTCGGCTTCCTCGCCTTCGTCAGGGCCTGAAAGAGTCCAAAACAATTGAGATTGTTCCCTCGAACGCCTCCACAAGAACTTAAGACTATTTCGATATCCTAGCAGACCACCCTACGGTATAGATCGATAAGTGTGGGAGATTGCTTACCAGTTGATCTAGCCGCGATGACGTGAGATCGACCATCACAAGTGCAGTACATACTAACAGTGAGCATCTCCACTCCACTCTGGGGCGACCTTGGCCTCGACCTCATGTAGGTCGAAAACCGCATAGGTCGGCAAAGAGCGCGAGAAGTTAGCAGGGCGATCCGTACGAGTCTAATGAAATGTGGTCTGCAAAAAGACGTTAGGCTGGTAGAAATACCCCCAATCAACTTGAAACGTCTCCTCGTACGTAATCGTCTTTATGACTACTCATGTGATACCCCGGAATGTGTGGTCTGCCCCTCCGGTAGAGCAGGTGATTGCATGAAGTCGGGGGTGATCTATTCAATACGCTGCCTCGCATGTGATAGTGAATATGTAGGGGAAACGGGCCGTCCTTTGCGCGTACGGGTTAAAGAGCACTTGGATGGCTTACGAAAGTATCACAAAGTCCCGGACGGCCTTGTTGGCCTCCGGGTTTTGAAGGATCATGGAGATGTCGAGTTCCAGGTAACTGTTCGTGCGATAGCCTGGCACAGGAAGCCTTGGAATCGCTGCAGCGGGAAGCGTTGGAAGCCGATTGATTTCAGTAAAGACGCCCAAATGAACAGGAAAGAGGAGTGATGTAGCGGCGCCGGCATCTTTGCCGACTACTGAGGTTTTTCGACCTACATGTTGTGAGGCCGGAGGTCCGCGAGAGGAGGTGAGACTCACTGTTAGTAGTACTGCAGCTTGGGTGGTCGATCTCACGTCATCACGGCTGAGATCAAGGTAAGCCAACTCACACTTATCGATCTATACCGTAGATCTTGAAAAATGCCTTATAAAAAGGGATATCGAAATAGTCTTAAGTTCTTGTGGAGGCGTTCGAGGGACAATCTCAATTGTTTTTGGACTCTTTCAGGCCCTGACGAAGGCGAGGAAGCCGAAACGTTGGCCAATAAATTATAAAAATCTTGGACGGCTCAAACTATCCACCTGTTCGAACATAGGCCAGCTTTTTCGCCATTTCACGGCTATATACAGTCCTCATCATTGCGGACCGGTGGGGCGTGTCAGCCAGTATGAGTGTGCACACTGTTGAAGCCGTTCTCAGCCTTTGTTGAAACGCGTATGCGACAAAAAGTGGTAGAAAACGAGTAATACGAAGGATATAATACAGTAATGTCACTTGCCCGCTTCAAAAACTGGTGCAGAACGACTTTGCCCAGCCGCGCCAACGCACGCCGCACTGAACCGCCAGCCCCGACAGTACAGCAATATGAGGATTGTAGACTTGCGTGCTAGAGCATTTTAAACGCGAATACTAAATTGTCGTGACCGGTTTAGGAGAGCCAGAGACGGCCAGTTCGTCGCAAGAGTAATAGAGCGAGCGAAATCCAAGCCAGTGCCTGACAGTCACTCCAAACTGTCTTGTTGAAAGGCAGATTGGCGCGATAGTTTGGTAGTACAGTGCCGCAAAATGACTTACAGGGCGCTAATCTAGTGGAGAAATGGCGAAATCGAACTGGAAATGGTCGAAACTGTCGAAGCAAAAACCTTTGGTATGTTGAAGGGATTTTGGCCACACGAGTTTCACGTAGGCGTATTGCAGATAAGCGGTAGTTTATGGTGGCATGTATGTAACTGAGATGATCCATTAGCACTGCAACACTTCAATACCAATCGCCTTCGCTTCATGTTTTACTTAGCGGCAAACGAAGCCAGAAGAGCGTACATTACAGTTGTCTACTTGTGGGTGGGTGGGCGTGGTGGGCTTTTGGGTAGTAATGTTGTGGCTTGATAGGACCTTTACAAGTGGTACACTTACTAGGGAAAGACGAACTACACAAGCAGCCTGCTCAGGGGGGGGGGGGGGAAATCCCAGCCTTTGCTAGCTTATCAATCCTACTCGTCCAAAGGGATTTATCGTGCCAACTGCCTTTAAGTACGAAAGAAGCTGAGCAGAAGGAGTCCCTACCTATTGTAAACGCATTTAGTGGGTGGACCTACTGCTAACTCCTTCATCGCCCCTCTGCTGCTTGAGGAATGGCTACTTCAGCAGTGTCTAACTTCTCTGCCAATGCTATTTAAAACTTTGCAGCTTTGTTTTCTAGTGCGCTGAAGAGGGATGGATGCTTTTGGGAATTGTGTCGTTTTTGCAGCTAAACTGTCGCCTCAGAGGCGACCAGTTCATCACGGAATGAGGGAACGACATCGTCTGTGTCAGGATGTAAATAGTAAGTATTGAACTAACTACATATTCCTAATTACTATTACTACCTTACACAGAGATGTGTCGCGCCCAAGCTTACGCGGTGAAGAACTGGCCTCTGAGGCACGATGGATCTTAGTCTAAAACACGCAAGCAAGTATCAGCAAAGCTTTTCACCTTAACAAATCTTCTGCACAACAAGGTGGAAACTGCTTTCCCGTGTCACATTCTGGCCTGTTCACATTGTGATAAGCTTCACTTAAAGATTGAAGCTGCTTTCTATGAAAGCTTCAAGAGCTTTGTAGCGTTACAGCATCGGGCGATTACACTACCGATGTCTAACAATTACGGGGGCGGCCTAACAGTCCACTATGTAAATGCAATGTACAGACTACTGGTGTGAGCTACCGAGAGAAGCCGTCAAGCTAACCATCAGGAGGGGAAGAGACGTTGTAAAAGTGAAAGTAATAGGATACCGTGCTAACGCCGACTAGAAACGGCGACTTTCTGAAGATCACATTTCCCTAGGATTAGGCCTTTACCATAGCTCAAGCAATTTATAACAACTCAGCCTGTATTTTGAAAGGAAATTGGAGAACATTTTAGACATTGGGAACATATGAAGAGCGTAGCTCCTGCTTCCTTTCTATTTCATTAGTTATCTATAGTTAGTTGATCTCTCTTCTATGCGGCTAATCGCACGCTCGACTTAACTTCTGTTCTCGGATATACGGATGTACTTTGACTGCGATCGGTGTCTCGCGTGTCGGGCGAGAATGAGTTTTGGCGCGGTGCCAGGCCCATTCATCCACCAGTTATAAGGCAGTTGGCTCAGCGATAAATCCTCCAAGACGAGCAGGACTAATACGCCTGGCAGGACGGAATTCCGCGACCCTGAGCAGGCGCTGCATAATGCCTTTTCCAGGGAAGGTGCCCTTATAAGGGCGCTATCAAGCCACAACTTTACGTCCAAACGCCCCCTTTGCCCGCCCCCGCCCAAATGGAGATGTTTGCGAAGCTCTAACTGGTTATTTGCTAAGCAAAATTTAAGAGGGCGAAGCATTGCTCATGAAGGCGGCGGATGCTGCATGGACCTATGAGTAACCATATGCAGGGGCGTACCTTCGTAGCGTTTATTGAATAAGATGCCTCGGAAATTCGTACAAAATGATTACTAAACAGTGAAAGAACGGCAGTTCATCTTTTTTCTACGTAGGGATTACGATTCGTTTCAGCAGTCCGTTCTTTTCCCCAGCAGTGGATTATGCCCGTACATCGCCTGAAGGATTTTAGGTACCGACGCACCTCAATATCATGCGTGGCTAACTGCCGCTTCAAAAGGGCAGATTGCAAACGATAAATCAGTTTATGACGGTCATACGGATTTGCTACAACTGGGATTCCACAAATTCCGTGAACTCGGACAGGCGCTCCGTGGAGCGGTTTTTCGAAAGGAGGGTACCGCGGGGTTCTATAACGCCTATTTGGCGCAACAGAACTTTCCGTCCAATAACGCCCTTCCTTGCCCGCCCCCAAAACGGGACGGACGACCGTTTCTGACGCTCGTATTCATTCATTTGCTGAGCAAATTATGAAGCAAAGGGATTGGTATGAAGCGGCGGTGATGCTGCATGCATATATGGGTACAACTAAGCATCGCGTACCGCTTCGGTAGCGGTGATGTGGCAAGAATGCGTACGGAACTCGTACGACATCGTATTAGCACGTCACTGAGAGAAACGGAGGCTTTTCTGTCTGCCGGATTTTGTAGAAAGACGGGGCGTTTCACTACGTGTTTCTTGGTAGGCCATTTCCGCCGTCTGCCCACA